GATGTCGTCGTAGTCCTTCTGGGCTTCGCGTTCCAGCACCTGAGGCAGCTGCTGGCCATCACCATCATCACCCTCATCAGCACTGTCCTTGTAGATCAGCTGCTTGATCACCTCTGGCGGCACGGCCGATGAAACGTTGCCACTGGTGACATTGATGTTGCTGTGGTCGTTTGGGCTGGTCGAATTGCCTGAAGAGCCAAGGGCGAGGACGACAGCAACGGTGGCCAAAACGACGCCGATCATCACCACCGATCCAGAACGCTTGAACATTTTGAAGGGCGAAAAACAGTTGCTCAAGAAATCAAAACAGGAAAAGTGCTCAAGAGCTGGGAAAGAAAGTGATGCGTCAACTTTAAAGCTTTTTAGTAAGTTTCTTGTAAGCTGACTCAAAGCAAGGCTTGGGCTTTTTAAACCTATGAAAACAAAGTTCTACATTTTACCCGGTAAGTGTACGACGTTCTTTTATTATTTTTCCCCATTGCTTTCTGGTTGCTTTGCTACTTGATTACTTTTTTCAAACATTGCAAAAAGTTGAACTAAAACTGCTAACAATCGAATTAAAAAGTGCCCTCATCCCCATCACCATCCAGGGTGCCGGAATAATCACCATCGCCGTACTCTCCGTCGTAGTAGTTCGCCACTGACCAGTCCTCCTCATCGTTTCGGTCACCCTCTTCTTCTTCTTCTTCATTATCACCACCACCACCACCATTATCATCCTCGCCATTATCACCACCAAGATTACCACCATCATCACCGCCGCCATTACCGTCCTCCCCAACAAAGAAGAGGTAGTCATCGAAGTTGAAGCTGCCCGGCAGCTGCTCCCACTCGTCGCCGACGACTTTCATGTGCGACGGCTGCAGATGCACTTCCTCTTTCTTATCATCAACTTCATTATCCTCATCTTCATCCTCGATCAGCAGACGTCCACTGCCGTCGACGAAGACCACCACCGGTTGGCCTCGAACTGGGTCGTAGACGGTCTGCAGGCTGACCAGACGCTTGTCGGTGTCGTCCTGGTGGCGGAAGTTCGGCAGGATGATCTTGGGCGACTTGGAGGAGGAAGGTTTCCTAGTCGTCCGCCTGCCTGATTTGATTTTAGAAGGCCTGGTGACGCCTGGCGTCGACTTGGTGGAGCTGTTGTCTGCTGCTGCGGTTGTTGTTGGAGCTGGTGTCGGTATGGAGGTCGTGGAGGAGGTGACCACCTTCTCATCTTCACTCTTTTGAGGAGGATAGCTCCTCGCAGCTACGATGCTGAAGAGGAGAAAGAAAAGTGCTCCAAAGAGGAGCAGCTGCTGCTGCCTGAGGTCCATCATCAACTTTTTTTCGGTCCTAGATTGATCAATTTGAAAGGTAACTGATTTTAGCCGCCGTTTTTTGTTTCCTTTTATAACATCCTTCTCTCTCTTTTTTTCACCATTCCCATTAGTACTTTCCCCGGCGCCGGACGATTTAGTGCACNAGCCGCCGTTTTTGTTTCCCTTTATAACATCCCTCTCTCTCTCTTTTTCAATTTTTCGTTTCACCATTCCCATTAGTACTTTCCCCGGCGCCGGACGATTTAGTGCACGCTCAAATGAGAGGGATCTCTGTTGTTTATTGGGCTCAAAAGTGTTTATCGTCGATAAAAAAAGAAGTAAAAAATATAATACGAAAAAGTAGTAAAATCAGCAAAATTAGCAATACAAAATACAAAGAGTGCAAAAGAAGGGGGAAGGGAATAGAATCAGATCTTGTTAACATTGTGACAGCAACTCAATTGGGACAGTTTTGGGACAGCCAGTTTACTTCCTCTTGGCTAGGCGGCTGCCCTTTACGAAGCGACCCTTTGGATCTCGCACCCTAGGCGAGAGAGCCCTCTTCTTCCTGCTGCTGCTGCCACTCCCCTCTTGCTGATCTTCCTCCTCCTGATCTTCTTGGTCTTCTTCTTCTTCGACTGCTGAAGAAGTTGAAGTAGATGGTCCATCAATGGGCGCCACCACGGCGACGACCATGGCCGTGGCCGAGGATGAGGAGAGGACTCGGGAGGGGCTGGCTGCTCCAGATGGTACTGGAGCTGAAGTTGAAGCTGAAGTAGAAGCTACCACAGAAGTTGAAGCTACTGCAGCTGAAGATGATCTGGTAGGCCTGCCTCCAGCGGCGGCAACAGCATCCGAAGGACGAGAACTGGGACCAGGATTGGGACCGTTGTCGTTGTCACCACCGCCCACCACCTCCATCACCACCTCCTCCTCCTTCTTCCGGTAGAGAACGTCGGCCCCGCCAAAGAGGGGCGTCTTCTTCGTGGGCAGATCTCCCTTTTTGCCCCAGACCTCGAGGGCCCGTCGGTCCGCCTCGCGGTGCGCCACAAAGACGCCTCGGTGGTGGAGTGGGCCTCGGGCGCGGTCCTCCTGCAGGAAAATCATCAAGTTAAACTTCAAAAAACTCCCAAAAACTTCCTCCTCCCTCCTCGACTTACCTTCTCCACCTCAGTCCACAACTCCGGGGGGAGCTCCACCACGCGGGAGTTCTCGTGGGCGACGCGAAGCAGTCGCCCGTGATCAGCTCGCCTCTTCCACCAGCCATTCGCCAGCATCGCCTCCTTCACATGGGCCAAGCCTCGCTGGTACACCTCCGGTGACTGGTTCTCCACGTCGGGCACCGTGGTGGTCATCTTCTCATCACCACCGCCCTCCGCCGTAGCATCAAAAAGCGAAAACATGAAGACATTATCGCGGTAGACGTTGACCAGCGCCGGCCAGTTGCAGCCGAGCAGGCGGTAGAGGTAGTCTTGGGTGAAGTGGCCTCCGCTGTGGTCGAGGACGCAGTCCTCAAAGTGCAGACTGGTGACGTTTGGCGCCATCCTGGGTAACACCACCTCGAGGATGGTGTCGTAGTTGAAGGGGCCCTGGTCGTAGGCCTGGCGGATGTCGTCCTTTGGGTAGCGGACCGCCGTTCGGCGCGCCTCTCGGGCCTCGAGGTCGATGTTGAGGGCGCCGAAGCGGCGCTGCCCGCGGACCACCCGCCCCAGCCGGCCGAAGTAGAAGCGGGCGAGGGTGAGGTGGCGCAGGCGGTCCAGGGCGAGCCCGCCCGGCAGCAGCTTCCTGGTGATGCCCGCCCCCTGGTCGGCCAGGTCGCGCCGGTCGAGGTCGGAGAAGAGGTGGCCGTAGGCGCGGGGGCCGCCCCAGTAGCGGCGGTCGGACAGGCGCAGGGCCACCAGGTTGACGAACTGGCCCGTGCCGCCGATCAGGCGGAAGAAGAGGGAGAGGGGCAGGTGGAGGGGGAGATCGAGGTCCAGCGAGGTGAGCGTGGACCAGTTGAAGAGCGAGGGGAGGCCGTTGGCCTGGAAGTGCCGGTAGTCGAGGTTGGAGTTGAGGTAGAGGCCGAGCTTCTCCACCACCACCTGGTGGCGGTTGTTGACGGGGAAGGCCTCCGGGGCGCCGTCCCGGTCGTCCACCCGGTCCGCCGGGCAGCCCCGTCCGAGGAGGACGACCTCGCCGATGAGGGCGGTCTCGAGGACGTGGCCCAGGCGCAGGGACTTCACCTGCTTCTTGCGCATCGAGTAGAGCTTCGCGGTGCTCAGCTCTTCGAGGGAGCTCTCGCGCATGCGCTCCGCCTCGGGGCGGTAGAGGGCGGCGGCGCCGTAGAACTCTCGCTGGCGGCGAAAGACCTTGCCGTCGTTGTTCTTTCGATGCTGCTGTAGAACATCAACATGAAGTGGGAAGCAGGGAATACTGGAGTTGATGAGGGCGAGATCGAAGGGCAGCGAGAGGTGGGCGAGGCGGCGCATGCGCAGCACCTGCAGCAGCAGGCGCCCGTCGAGGTNCCGTCGTTGTTGTTCTTTCGATGCTGCTGGAGGACGTCAACATGAAGTGGGAAGCAGGGAATACTGGGGTTGATGAGGGCGAGATCGAAGGGCAGCGAGAGGTGGGCGAGGCGGCGCATGCGCAGCACCTGCAGCAGGAGGCGCCCGTCGAGGTAGTGGCGGGCGGTGGCGGGCGTGGCAAAGAGCTCCAGGTGCTTCAGCGTCTCCTGGTAGGCGGAAAGAAGGGCTAGGAGGCCTTCCAGCGGCAGGTGGTCCACCTGAAGGATGGTCAGCCGCCGAAGGTCGGGATAGTCATCGACTAGCTTGCGAATCTCCTCGGGAGTTTGCCGCTTGCAGATCTGCCGGCTGAGGTCCTGCAGCGGCCGGCCGAGGGCGCCCTGGCCGTGGCCCTCATCGGTGAAGAAGACGGAGCGGGTGAACTCGAGGAGGGCCTGCTCGAAGGTGTCCGCCTGCGTGAGGATGAGGTGGTGGCGAAGCGGATCGAAGTTCTCCTCCTCGTTTTCTTTCTTTTCGGTGGCCGCACTGCTTCTCTGGTGGCCGCCTCTGCCTCGCTTTCCCCGACCTCGAAGTCCAGAGTCGGCTGATTTGCTGCGATTACCACTGGTTCGCTGTTTTTTGTTGTTGTTGGGAGGATTACCATTGTGATTGTTGCCATCGTTGTCATCACCTCCACCATTATCTCCGTTTTCAGCGCCCGACTCGTCTGGTCCTCGCTTGGAGCATCGCCGCCGAGCATTGCTGCGGCTGCTGCTGTTGTTGATCGAGGTGCTGGCCATCTGCTCGGTGATCTCCCGGGTCGCGTCTCGTTCTCCCCCGCCATCACCCTCATCATCGCCATCTTTCTTCGGGACGATACTGCCGTTGCCGTTGCTGGCCATGGTTGTCACGGAGCGGACTTTTCGGGGAGTTCGGGGAGAACTCCCAAAAGCTCAAGAAGTTCTTCAAAAGAAGAAGAAGAAGAAGAAGAAGCACACTTCAAGCGCTTTTGTTTGGAGAGCAGCGCGAGCCAGTGAGAGCGGGGTAGCGGCAGCCACCGGGCCACCACAGCGCACTTCTCTCTTTGCCGCTCCAACACCGCGACCACAGCTCCCATTCGTAGAGAGCGTGCAGGCGGGAAAACGCGCTGCCGCTGCTTTCTCTCTTTTTTGCCGCCACCGAATTCTTCCTTNCTTTTCGGGGAGTTCGGGGAGAACTCCCAAAAGCTCAAGAAGTTCTTCAAAAGAAGAAGAAGAAGAAGAAGAAGCACACTTCAAGCGCTTTTGTTTGGAGAGCAGCGCGAGCCAGTGAGAGCGGGGTAGCGGCAGCCACCGGGCCACCACAGCGCACTTCTCTCTTTGCCGCTCCAACACCGCGACCACAGCTCCCATTCGTAGAGAGCGTGCAGGCGGGAAAACGCGCTGCCGCTGCTTTCTCTCTTTTTTGCCGCCACCGAATTCTTCCTTGTTTGTTACTTATTCATCATCACTTTAATGCGTTCCAAATGGATCACCATGGAAACCGCGAAAAGATTGGGCTACCGCATTGGACGGGGAACCTTTTGCACTCCCGAAGCACAGACACCGGACAGCAGCAGCAACAGCAGACAAACAGACGAAAGTTATGAGGCCAATAACTTTCTGCTTGCCTCGTCTGTTTACATTTCTCCCAACTTCACTCCTGACGTAATCGACCTTATTTTCCTAGCCCTCCATTTCTATTTCTATTTTCTGCTTCTATTTGCTCAAGAGAGTGATCCGTGTCCAGTGGCAATTAAGAGGATTCGCCGTCGCTGTCGCTGGTCTGGTCAGTCAGTCTCATCATCATCAGTTTGGCCAGTCATAACTCAGAATTCATACACTTTGAATCTACTGAACAATTCCACAAAAGAAAATGACAAAGAATCTTCCAGTGAAAATTCTACTCGCCATTTTCCTCCTTCTTCTCATCGGTTCTACTTCAGCTGAAGAATCTTCAGCATCCTGCGCCTCAAGTCCCTGCATCAACGGCGTCTGCAGAGCTGAAGAAGAAGAAGTGGAAGCAAATTCCAATTCCACAA